GGAAGAGGCCGAGAAAGTATACCAAGGAATGAGCTGTGAATAATTGAATTATAGCAAACATAACTCTTCACAATATGACCAAATCAAGTAAGAGAAGATGTTTGAAGAGTCTTGGCACCACCCACGTAGGTAGACAAAATGAACTGAAAGCGGTTTGATAATAAAGAATGAACGAAGTGGGGGGACGAGGCGTGTGCGCACGATGCACAGTAACACAACGAGAGATGAGACGGTTGACGAACGACTGGAACAAGTTTGTTCGGTCAACTTCCAATTGATTAGCTGCTATGGGAACGAGCTGATTACGATTCGAATCACCTCTTCCGCTTGTTTGAACTTCGGGATAAGGTCGGATTCGTGCTGCTTCCGGAAACGGACGTATAGAGAGGTTATAGCCGAGAAATGCTACGGAAATGCGGAAATACATCATGATAAAGCAGTCGACGGATAAGATTGCGTGAAGTAGAATCTCTTCAATAAATAAAGTATTCAATGTCACATAAGCTTTGTTAGTGGCAATCCCGCAGTTCATCGCTACTTGTGGTACGCTGGCCCTGTACTAAACCTTTTTCAGTCCTTTTTGCATTCGCATATAATCAATCGTACCTTCGATTTCGCATCCAAATAAAAAGTAAACAATTTTCGCATACAATCTTTACTGTCATCTATCCATTAAATATCTTCCGCAAAATCTTCTTTTATATAGCATATCACAATCAAAAGTTGTCCTTCATCATTGCGTCATTCTCTACCATGTTGCTTGAATTCCAGCGCGTACATTATTACTCGACTTCTCTTTTATTTCACGCAATCACCTTTTCTCTTCTACCTGCTCTCGCCCAACATGCTGGCCTTTCACATTTAAAAATGTAGCCAACTGACGTTAAATCGTACCACTCTGACCCTAATTTCATGTTTACTTTTACCCTAACCACTTTCAATAGTTTTAATAATTGTGCGGTGGACTAATTGGTGGTTGCTTCGTGGGATATTTGCTACAACTTCGCTGTAACTAACTTAGAAATCTTTGCAAGTATTTAACGAGAGTCTTTCCTGATAAGACTCGAGAAATTTCTTAGTGAGCACAATGAAATAACCATGTGCGCAAGTTCTTGTGAAACCAAATTCTTACTAAATTATAATATTTGTGTCCAAAATTTTGCCCT